ACCATCGTGAAAAAAATCCAAAAACATTTTAGAAAATTACAAAAACTTCTGTCAACATCTTTTAGTTTTTGACCAAAAATGACACGAAAAGTTCACATTTTGACAAAGTCTTTACAGAAATATTTCTAAAATTGTTCTTTAAATGTCGTATTTTTATGAAAAAGATGCAAGAATAGTTCAATTTTTTAAAAATGATTTTACAAAACTTTACGTCAAGCTTTTTTAGGTTCTGTCCAAAAATGAAATGGAAAATTTATATTTTGACAAAAATGTTTATAGAGAAAAATTTCAAAAAATCTTTTCTAAATGCCCTAAATTTCTGAGAAACATCCGGGGGAAAAAAACATTTTTATTATTACAGTCTGTAAAAAACAATTTTAACCTTTTGAGGTATCTAAACCTCAAAGGGGGGTTGATGGGGGGTGGGGGGGGGGTGTGATGGCCCACAGTCTGTTTTAAATATCTATGGACTAAACGTTTCACTCATCTAAGAGGCGGCTTCAGTTCTGATTGGCTACATACCAGAAGTTCCCAGTCGTCACTCAGAACCGAGGAAGCCTCTTAGATGAGAGGTGACATCATCAAAAAATGATGATGTCATATCATCATTTTTGAAGTGACGACTTCAAAAAAACCTACTCCATCAGGTTGCCCTCGATGTAACTATTTTTGGATTAAATGTGACGTGTGTATATTGACACGTTTTTAGGCTACTTTTTAGTAACATTTAAATGTAAGATTTGAATATAAATGACAATAACAATTTGCTGATAATGAAATCTTTTATTTGAAACTAAACCAAACTAACAAAAAAAACTACACTTTTTTAAAAATCCATTGTTGAAACATCCATAAAAAAAATTTCATAGCATCAACTAGGGGGCATCCTTCTCCACCAGCACCATTAACTAGCAATGAGGACACGTGTAGGAAGTTAAGAATATTGTTGTGCCAAAGTTCAACTAGAGGCAAAATAAAATACACACCATTTTTACAAAATCAACACGGATTTATACAACATGACCCACAGAGTGTGGAGAAGGACCAAATCCACAACACGAGCCCCAGGTTTGGCCTCCATGTGCTCCAAAGCATTGGAAGCAACTGAGAACAACCTGAGCACAAATATTCTTAAAGACACATTAAAATTTAATTTAAAAAGATCTAACGTGTTCCTCATTAATATGACACTTTACAGACAGACGCGCTGGCCAAAAACCTCCCCCCGGCCCAAAAAAAAAGTACCCACAATTCTCTGCAGATAAATGTTTTCAAATGTGGATTTCAGTTGTATTTTTTCTAACCTGAAACAAGTCTGGATCGGTCTTCGTTCGTCCTACGTCGGCACGTCCCCTCTGCGGCGGAGGTTCATGCGTGCTCTCGACCGTCTCTCTCAGGTTGTTCTAGCAGCGTTGCGTGACATTGTGGGATTTTCAGAACTGGGCTCGACCAGGGTTCTACCAAAGGTCCAGGTTCTCGGTGTTGGCGAAACCCGGGTCTTTGCGGAGGTTCCAGTAGGTTCCGTTGTAGAGCCACACCTCTGTGCCGGCCTCGTCCAGGGCTTTCCTGAGGAAACGAAATGAAACGGTCACGGCTACGATCAAGAGTATATCGCAATATATCGTATAGTGGTCCCTGTATCGTGATACGTATCGTATCGCCAGATTCTTGCCGATACACAGCCCTGTAAATAAGTCGTTCAGATTTAATCTGATTATTTTGACACAGATCCAGAGCTGGATTTAAGGTTCTACGACGTTCTTAAAGTTTAGAAAAAAAAAGTTACCTGAAAAACCTGGGGGTGTGCTCCTCCCCCCTACTGGCCATCTCCTTCCTCCTCTCCCTCTGCTTCTCCTCCACCTCGTCCTTCTTTTTATCTGCTTCAGCCACTTTCCCCTCCTCCAGAAGCCTGACGGAAAAAAGAAGAAGAAAAAGAAGACGACGACAGATGAACAATCAGCCGTCACCGTCTGTGTTTTAAAAACGTCGGTCTGCTCAGGTCAGTACCTCTGGTCCGGTCTGAATCGTGTGTCTGTCGGCGGGAGGACGGCCTTCAGCTCCGGTGTCAGTTCGTTCAGTTCCCGGGCGTAACGAGAGAAGCCGTAGAACTGGGCGTAATCATCCGGTTGTACGTCTGCAGGGAGAAGGAGAGCGAGATGAAGAGGAGTCTGGAGAACGTGTTCAGGACTGGACAACAAGGGGGGGGGGGCCGGGACGGGTGATGGGTTCTGACCCGTCCGTCACTCACTCGGCTTCCAGATGCACTTTGGCGTAGAGAGCGTGTCACAGAAGATGCCCTCGTGCCACAGGCCTCCGAATCGATGCACCACCTCCCCGGCCCGGTTCAGGACCACGCCCTGCACCTCGTTCTTACTGCTGTCTGAGCTCCAGTACCGGGACTGGACCACAGGGGGGAGACAGAGAGTTAGACTCACAGGTTAGACTGGAGTTAAAACGGTGAGGCAGCCGGGGGACGAAGTCGACGTGTCCTCACCTTGACGAAGGTGATCTTACAGGTGCAGACGTCGCTCTGCGTGTTCCTGATCACCACCTCGCCGTAGTGCTCCAGCCAGCGCTGCTGACTCAGCACGTTGTGGATACAAGTCACCACCTTGTTCCACTCGTAGTGGTCTCCGTACCTGCACGGAAAAAAAAATTAAATTCAAAGAACTTTCAATGTGGGAGAGGGGCAAAAAAAAAATCCGTCACCGGGGCAGTTTGATGTTGACCAGCCCACTGGAGATGATCTCCACTGACTTCCCCCAGAACTTGTTCTTCCATCTCTGATCTGGGAACAGAAAAGTGTGTGAGTGTCAGGCTTTAGGTCATAAAAATCCGTAGTGACCTCACAGTGACCTCACAGTGACCCCGCAGTGACCCCTCAGCTCCTCCTACCTTGCCAGAAAGTGAAGTTTTCTGAGTCGGCGTGACAGGCAGAGATGGGTGGATGATGGCTGACCTGAAAATAAAACAACATGACATTTTATCCACAAAGGCTTCGGTCCGGCTGACGTGTTTTCTTTGCGTCTCGCCGCGGCGTACCTGCTCGCTGATGTAGCGGAACCCTCGGTCCTCACGGTGGTTCTCGTAGGTTTCTCCTAGAACGGGGTTGAAGGGTTTGTAGCGATTCCTCCAGGAAGCCCAGGCGTAGCCAGAGATGGAGAAGGCGGCCACGTAGACCTGGACACACACACGGACACGAACACACACGCGGTTAACGTCGAGCTCGGGGAACGTTCAGCTCAACGGTTTCGGGGGAACAAACCAACCGACCATGCGTTCGTACGGGTCGTCGATGTGGTTGGCGATGTCCAGCAGCTCGGCGTACTCCAGCTCCTCGCTGACACGCTGCAGCAGAGACACGGGCTCGTTGAGAGCCACGGGCATGGAGACCCGGGACAGGTCTTTGCCGATGTTGTTGTACAGGATGGTCATGATGCCGATGTGGCTGTTGTCTGATCCTGGAGCTGGGAGTACGGCTCGGCGACCTGGACCACAGGAAAGAGTCAGGAGAAAAAAAAAAAAAAAAAACCCAGACTGTCCTTCGTGTCCTTCATGTCCTGCAGTGAGTGTTGTTACCTGTGTCGCTGGTAGGGGGCGTGGGAGGGTCAATGACCTCCTTCAGACTGGCCCTGTAGTTCAAGGCTGCAGTGGCTGCAGGAGAAACACATTTCGTTTTTTATCGTATGGTCGCCGTGTCAACAGGACGTGACATCATCAGCGCCGCTCTGGGGTTACTCACTGTGGCCCTCGTCTGGCTCCGAGGTGCTAGTGGTGGTGATGTCACTCAGGCCCGACTCGTCAGAAGCCTCCGCCTCAGACGAGGTCTCGCACACGATAACCTCGCTGGCGTCAAAGTACTCGGCAATAGAGTCTGCCACTGAGGGGGCGCGTTGACAGTGTCGACCCATAGATGGCGTCCTCTGTCGGAAGAGAGAAAAAAAAGAAAAAAAGAAAAACAACTGAACAAAGAGTCTCATGGAGACAGACATGCGACGAGTGTGTGTGTGTGTGTGGAGGTGTGCAACAAGCAGAGAACAGTGTGAGGTTCAATTCCCACCAGTGCAGATCACCACGGACTTTCAGGCAAAAAGTTCAGGTTTGTTGAAATGAGTAAATTGGTCGTATCTTTGTCCAGTTCCTGTGTACGTCGTTGATTTCCACAAACTGGAAAGACTTTAAAAAGATAATAAAAAAAAAGCCTGGTTGTTTTTGGATGAATCTCAGGAGCCGAGAGAACACGTGGATCCATTTACAAAAATCCCAAAAACCTGAACTGGCCCTTTAAATGTGTCTGTTAGTGCCACCTGATCACACCAATCACAGAGCAGTGTCAGTCAAACTGTCGGGCGAGTGACAGAATTATCTCACTGTGATGAGCTGAGGCGAGAGAAGCTGTGATTGGACAGAGAGAATCACACACACACACAAAAAAACTGTGATACCAAAAGCATTTTTTTCTAAATTTAAAAATGTTTTTGAGAAACTTTTATTTTTGAAGACTTTTTCAGAAAATTATTAGTATAGAATTTTACTGTGATCAAAAGTTGTCGTAACCAGAAAATTTTACTGTGATCAAAAGTTGGCGTAACCAGAAACGTTTGGATGCAGAGTCTGGCAGACCTAAATTCCCGGCAACTTTGCCCCATACACACGCACGCACACAAAGACACACACACACAAGGACGCACACACACACACACACAAATGCACAGTACACACCTGGTCCGGGCGGACGGTGCAGAAGGATTCTTCAGTAGAGTCAGAAGACAAGGAAAGCGAGTGGACTTTGGTCAGACGGGACTGTATGTCAGTCTGTTCACACACACACACACACACACACACACACGGAGCAGTCACACAGAAGAGGAAGCACAGAAAAACAAAATCACATGATGTAGCTTCTGATGGCAGGTCAAAGGTCAACGTAATTAGGGCCAAAGCGCCGCAGTTAAATGATTGCGTTTGACCTCGGATTCAAACACCTGTAATTAGAACAGGCTGTGAAAAAAAAAAAAAAAAAAAAGGGGGCGTGTCCTTTTAGAACTTCCTCTCTCGTCCAATCACACGATTCTCATCACAGATGAATCAGACTGTTGTTACCAGGCAACCAAAACCAAAACACAGAGATCAACTCATGGACCAGGAGGACAAAAACCAAACTGGGTCCAGCTCCGACCCAGAGGGGCGGAGCCGCCGAGGGGCGGAGCCACAGAGGGGCGGAGCCACGAGTTTCTGTGTGAGTCGAGGCGATCACACCTGGTTAGTCCTGGGGCTCTGACTCTGTGTGTGTGTGTGTGTGTGTGTGTGAGGTGTGTTCATCAGGTCACGCCTGTGTGTGAAGCTGTACCCGTCCTGACGACAAACAGCCCAAACCTGCTCCGCAGTTTCACCGCTCGTCTCCGTCAGGGAGCCAGGGTTTGGTCACCAACAGACAGATACTGACATTCTGGTCTCAGCTCTTTTTATGTGTGTGTGTGTCGGGGTGTGTGTGTGTTACCTCTGACATCGTGCTGCACAGCGTGGCCAGCTGCTGTGACGTGTTCTGCCTCAGGTCCGGTCCGGTCCAGGCCTGTCTGAGACGCTCTCGCTCCAGTGACAACACGTCGTGAATGGACTTGAGAGAAGAATGGACTGTGAAAAGAAGACGACAAGACGTGTGAAAAAGTCACAAATATAAGGCTCGTGGTTCAAATATGGCTCTGCTGAAACATCAGTGTGTTGATGAATCATGTTTGTTTTTTTTTTTTTTAAGTCTCTATTAACACCCGACGGGCAAATACCCCGTTATTGAAATGGTGCAGTGGAGTTAAAACCAACAACCTCAGCAAGTGCAGATAAATAATTAAAATAATAAAAACCAAAGCGGAGGTTCTCACCCCTCTGGGAGAGAGCACAGATGTCCTGGTGGAGCTTCTTGGCCTCTGGTGAAGTCACCTGAGGGTTGGACAACTGACTGTAGACGTAGTCAGGGATGGAAGGGACAGAAGCCCCCAGACCAGAGCTGGGGTTGGTGCTGAACTGGCTGGAGGTCAGCTGGAGGGGACAGAAGGTCAAAGGTGAACAGTCAAACTCAGAGAGAGAGAGAGAAAGGGAGAGAGAGAGAGAGAGAGAGCAGTGTGAGTTCCTACCAGGCCCATAGCTTCAACACGTGATAAAGTCCTGGAGTGACCAAAGACTTTTCCAGGTTTCCTCTTTGGTTTTTCCAGAAGGGAGAGATGTAGGATAAAAAGAATAGAACGTTAGCTGAAGTATTTAAAAAAAACAAAAACAAAAACAAAAAAACCTCTGGACCTTTTCCTCTTTTTAAAAATGCTTTTATTTTGAAAAGCCTCGTCACAGAAGTTCTACAGCCTTTTTTTTCATTTTTAAAATTCAATTCAAAGTCTTTTTTTTTTAACAATGTTATTTTTGTGTTCTGTGAGGCCTGATGCCGAGTGACCCATGTGCAGTTACAGGTCCAGGACCCAAGGGTTGGAAACCTCTGCCATAAACCACGTGTTGTTGATAAATATTAGCACTGGCTAACTGAAAATCAGCAACGATGACATTTGACTGCATCGAGGCTCCTGTTGGATAATTCAGCTGTCAATCACGCGGTGCTGTCATAACAAAGGTTATTTTTATAATATATATAAAATGATATATTTAAAGGACTAAAACGTCAGGTTCCTCTGACGGTGAAGCCGTGACTTCCTGTGGACCAGGACTCACCTGCATGCTGATCCTCATCTCCAGGTCTGTGTTGGTGATGGGCAGACCTCCCTCCAACCAGTGGAGTCTCTGGATCAGCTGAGCCAGTTCTGTCAGCTCAGTCTGACAGCGAGAGAGGTCTGACAGACGGAAGGTCAAAAGGTCACGGATCAGGAAAAAAAAAAAAACGATATACTAATGAACCAATCACACGCCTCGACGGAAGGTCAAAAGGTCACGGATCAGGGAAAAAAAATAAACGATATACTAATGAACCAATGACACGCCTCGGGTTCTGTTTGTTCACTGCAGGCATTTCTCACCGTTGGTGGTCACGTCCAGATCGTGGGTCTGCTGCAGCCAGGCCGACACCTTATTGGTCACTCCGTGGTTGGAGGGGGTGGCCGGAGATGGGGCGGGGCTTCCCATCTCCGGCTGGTACGCTGAGGCGGAGCTGGCGTAGTAAGAAGGCTGCAGGATAGGAAACGATCAAAGGCGACGTCAGCGATGTTGTGATTTTGGCGATGCGACACGTATCGCGATACGGAGCGACGATACGATATATTGCGATATATACTACTAATACTGTAGACATAGCGATATAGTTGTGTTTTTTAAATTGTAGTCAAAGTGTTATCAAAAAAACAAACAAACAAAAAAAGAAATGATATAGTGCTAGATACCGATAACATCGATCTTGTATCATGGATTGAAATATTGTAGTATTTCCGTGTATCAATATTTAACATTTACAATATTAACATTTATATTAAGAATTTATATTAATA